CCCGGCCTTTCAACGGGCGCTGCTTGCACACCGGCCGTTGCGTTATTACCTACCACCGGACCAGAGGTGGAAAAAGGTTCCGCTTCACACTCGGCCGGGTCATTAACGGGGGGCCAAACCTAACCCCGGAGCCGTCTCTCCGAGCGCTAAGAACGCGCGAGTCGTGCCGGGCGACGATAAATGCGCCGTCCTCGTAATCGAGAAACAAGTTCAGCCGGGAGAGACGTTCGCCTCCGGGATTTATTTCGATTGCTATACTACCCCCGCTCCGCGAGCGCCGAAAATGAATAGAAACGTATCGCGTGACTATGATTTTATTACCCACCAGCCGCTTCTGGGTAATTTACCTTCCGCGCGAGGAATTCTGTAATCCGTTGAGCGACTTTTGATTATTTCTGACGACCCCGCCGTTTAAACCATTTGGCCTGCTTCGGGCGCAGATCGAAACCCAGCGTGCTTTTACAAATTGCGCCACTTTTAACGGACCACGGGAATTCTTTCGCTGATAAGAACATTTCTGTTGCTAATAATCGCCTGCGTGGAACGGAGAGCTTGTATTTAGGGTGTCCCATAAGTTCTTTCCTTTTTTTTGTTTGATGCGAAATGATTACTCGATATTTGTTGTTCAAGGTTGATTTATCGAGTTATATACGAACCGTTCTGCTCTATTACCTTCTTCCATCTTTCAGGAAGCCACATTATGCCGCATTTCCAAGATTGTTGAGGCTTATTTGCAAAATATTGATCAAGACGCGTTTTTGTTTCACTTACGAATTTAAACCGTTCTTCACGGAGAGAATGTTTTCAACGAGAAGAACAGAGAATGTTTTACGAGAAGAAGTAATAATCGGATGGAGCAATGTCTGGGGAGTACCGAGGATGAGGTAGAACGTCCCAAGCAAACTGCAAATAATTTTTGTTTTACGACCAACGCAACATGCGGTTTTGCGTTGTCGTGATGAAAATTTGACGGTGTGGAACTTCGAATCGATTCACATATCCCATCTTGATTAAATGCTTATGTACCGTTGTTTTGGGTATGTTAGTGGCATCTGCTATCTCGCGCACGCTATATCGCGAATTTTCAGCAAGCAATATCTTTGACAAGGTCCGCGTCCGTCGTTGTTGGACGGTCGCTGCGGTCTTCATCTTTCAAATCATAATTGCCAGCTCTAAATCTCTTAAACCAATTGCGGACTGTCCTAATAGTCGTCGAACCATCACCGTAAACGGTACAAATCTCGTTTGGAGTGTCCTTTGCCCTATTACTTTTTTGTTAAAGCAACGAAGCATAACATGCCGCAAATGTGTGCTTCTTTTATAAGGAACTTTGTCACCCACGAAACGTACTCTAAAAGAGCTCTAGGACGATTGAAACCGATACCTTAAACAGCCAAGAGATAAGCCTGCGTGTTTATATGAATAATATTATTATATATTTTTTATATATATAATAAAAATATTTATCGTGCTACTTAGATTTACTCCAGCGGCTACGTACCGTTGACACAACGAAATTAGGATTTAATTTCGATCTAATTGGAATCAATAACAGCCACGTAACAGCAGTCTTGCGACTAGTCTGACTTGGTATTGCAAGGTATATGCAATTCTAGCTGATAACTAATTAATCACTCTTAAATTAACATTCGAGAAGCGCATTGAATGCGAGGTTAATGTTGTTAATTGTATTACATTGGTACGATTGATTAATCGAATGATGAGAGAAATGTGACAGTTCATACATTGATTGATACGTATCGAACCATTGTGCGTGAGAATTGCATGATATATTTTGATCTTGTATTTAATATTGTTAATTAAATATTATTGTCAACGAGAAGAATCACGACTTGCGCTTGCCACTGTAAATTCTTTCAAATTGTCCCAGCGTTTGTGAACGAAAATGGCTCGAATAATCGTATCTCCTCCTCCAAAAATTGTCCATTTTTGTTCACAAACACTGGGACGATTTGAGAGAATTTACTGTATATTGTTTCCTTGGAATGAACTAGAAATGAGCCGCGAACATGATGCTTTCTGTTTCCATTATTTTGTGCGCGCCCTCTGGAAACTCGGTGTGGCAATTTACCGAATAAAAAGTGGCACGAGCAGGTCCGTTTCGTCGACGGCTTTCTATAAATTCTTTAATCTCCACGAGCGCAGCACGTTGATTCCTCAACAGACGCACAGCCGCGAGGGTCTGCCTCCGCGAAAGTTATCGTTTTCATAACTCATCCCGCTCAAAGAGGGTGGTTCCCACCTAGGGTTGACCGACCAATGAAAATATGTCCCTGTTACGAGAGGATTAGCGAGGATTAGCCGAAAGATTTAGAATTGTCTCGCGCCCCAGGCTCGCTGAGCGACTAATCCGGAAATATGATCATCTTTACTCAGCATCCCCAAGACATCGATCCGACGAAAAAATGTGGGTAATCAGCGCACGGGGTTCTTCCATTGTACCGGCGAATTTAATATAACCGAGAGAAAAATGTAACGTGATTATTGAGACCAGAATGCTTCGTAGAAATATCAGGCTTGCCCAAATGCCCATTTTAAACCAGCAAACGGTACAGTTGATTAACCCCAGAACAAGCAAATTAGTCAAATTGTCTGGTTTCCGATCTTTCATTTGACAATCCCTGATGTTAGAAACATCTTGTGAAATGTTTTAGATGAGCTTCTTCGTTTAAGCGTACGTTATAATAGAAATGGCACATAGTTCAAATAAATATTGTCATTGTTACGATACAATATCGTGTATTAGTGAAAGCGTAATATAGAAAACAAAAAAGTATCGGAGGAACCATTCTCAGATAAACTGATACGACGAAAGGAAACGTGTATGGTCGGACCGTGAACAAGAAGATTGTAATACTCGCTGTCTCGTCATCCATGAAGAAGGTATAATCTGTTAAATTTTATAGATCCACGGCATACAGCGGGCTTGCCAATCTCGTTAAGACAGATGGAAACAGGATAGCGTTCCGACTCATCATAAACTCGAGTTACGAGTTGTCCAAACTGCTGCTTGTATAAAGAAACGAAGAGGACACTTTTCTTATCTTGGAGCGGATGCACAATCCGTGAGACCTGCTTCCCAGCCTTTCTTTATGCACCTCGAAGTTCCATCGGATAACTGAAAGTGCAGCTCAGGAAATCTCCGAGCCGTAACCCTTCGAAACTAATGCATCTAATTCCTAAAGAGTTGCAGACAAATCATTTCAGTTAAATACTAAATCTACCACGGTCAGTACGATCGTTATCTGCTTATATTATTATAAGTGATGTTACAGAAATCTATCTTACAATTCTACAAACCTTGCAGACTCCTTTATGAGAAATGCTTGATTAAATTATATTATTGGATCAAGTTCTATAATAAAAACTTTATAAAATCTAAACGAATTCGATCTTCTCACTTTTATGAGGCAATACATTGTTTCTGTTCGGTAGGTTTAGCGTTAGGCGATCACACTTGCTGTTTCTCCAGTACTGAAAACATTGATGCACACACACACACGCGCGCGCGCGCGCGATTTAGCTCTGCGAAGAAAATAATTTTTATACAATGCTTTTAAGTATTTACATTAAACTCAGCACCATTAAAGATTTATGTGCAGACACGTTCTTTTATGTTTCCGGGGGTTAACTTTTGCTGTACCATTCGAATGCTGAAGAATTACACCAAAATTCAGGCGTAGGGAAATACAACGAAAGACGTGTTTCCGCAATTTTGCCATTAGTTTATGGTTCCTAGGGGAATACGAAGGGTTGCGTATGACGCTTATAAGGCTCTACAACGAGAAACCGGATAATGTCGCGCCCCGAAAAGGGTTGTCTCCAAGTTATAATTGCTATATGTTAACCGAAAAGGATAGGTGGGGACGTGACAATATTTTTACAGTAGAATCCGATTATTCAACATGCTCGGAGCGAAGACAGATCGGATAATTAGATTACGCCTCTATTTTCTTATTTACTATCATTTCGATTAAAATATGATAATTGTGAGAGGCTGAAAGATTATTTTGAGGACACGGAACTGTTTAGTGGAATATTCTTTAATTTAAAAAAATTATATGACTAATATATACATATATTATCCATACATATATGGACAGTGACGAGAACAATTTTGTATCCTGAGAATATTTTTAGTCATATAATTTTTCTAATTAAAGAATATTCTACTAAACAGTATATATTATTAATATTGTTTAATATATATATAATGTGGCAAAAACTTCATTATTAAACAATATTAAAGTTATCAATAATAAAGTTATCTAACTAAATTGATAACATAGAAATTTACGTTATCTACACCTGATACAGATCCACTAAAATCTAATTTAGCGCCATCACACGTAGCAAGAAAATACTTAAACTGGTAATCAAATTATCGACTGTTGCTACATCAGGTACAGTAACTTCAGCAACTTTGTTGCTCAAGTCTTACCAGTTTGGATGTGTTGCCACAGATGAGGTATAGGAGTAGACTGGACATCCAATGCATTATTTTGCCATCCAAAAGTGGGGCTTCAGAAGCCATTCCAGTATCGCGCTTATCGTTACCGATTTTCAGAAATTTAAGCTTCTTAGCGAGGATCGAGTATTTGTATACCTCGTTTGTATTACGGTACATTTTATGGTTTGAAAGCCTCAAATTCATACGGCGCGTATATTCAAATAATAACAATGGTACTTATAAAATATAATAAAGTGCAGTTAAGTTTTCTACGATCAAGAGTCTAGTATAAGAGTCTAGTATAATATAAAAGAATGCTATCAAATAAAAAAATAAAATTTAAAGTTTGTGCTAAATTATCAGCTGTAAACTTTGTCTCGTAGATTCGTGGAGCTGAAATCGGCATTGAATATTATAACGAAAACAATATAATATTCAGATTTACTTCGTGAAACGCGTATGAAAATATTGTCTATTTTTTTATTGATCAGTAGATACGGAAAGGGTTCGGGGTTACGGAAAACTTACCTAAAATTGACTATTTATTTATTTATTACTGCTTAATACAATTAATAGTTAATATAATTAGTAGCTATCTGGAACTGTTCCATCCTTTGATCTAGAGTTTTGTTCTTCATAGAACATTTTCAATCGTTTCAACCAACTTGTCCACTTTTCTTGCAATAACTTATCTTTTACCTCGTGGATATCTGCTGGATCTCCGTTCGAATAAGCGATCACGATCAATCCTTTAGTCACCTGAAACAATTATTTACAACTTCATGTGTTCGGTTAAAAAAGCAATATTCCTTTTCTTAAATGATTCGTATAACAAGGAATTGTTAATTGCTAAAAAATAGCTGACTTTAGAATAATTACAACAAAAGGAAACATGCGGGAAGCGTTCACGGCGCCGATGTTGGCAGAGAGTTGAAGAGCTGCATCATGAGTTGCATCTAAAGTTGATCGTCGTTTGTCTGATTTCTTCCAATCAATTACACACACCTCATTTCTATGTACATAAATTTGAAATACAATTAACCCTTACAGGACGAACGTAGGTCACTCGAGACCAAGTTCTTATATCAACAAAAATTTGTTCACGTAAAATTTTATCGTGGCTCAGAAATGACCTGACATTGTCTTTTGCATGGTACATTCTCCAAGGGTTAAAAAGTCAATTGAATAAATAAATATCCACTTGTGCAATAAATTTAATCTGTTTTACCCATAAACTCCAATACAATCTACGATGCCTCTGTACTTCAAAGCGGGATGAGTCACAGCAGTTTCCAACCGTTGAACACTTTGTATATTCGATAAAAAAGACCTGACACTGTGGTATGCTAAATGAATTTCTGGCGACAATACAACATCCTTGCATAGTAGCTTGCTGTGTATGTAAGAGTGTAGTAGTCTACCAGTTCTTAACATATCTAGAAAATTAATAAGTTAAAATTAATCCTGATATATACTGTAGACAAATCGAACATGACCAATACCTTCAGAATGCTTGTCAAATTCTTCTTGTCCATATTTTAAAATCATTCTTTCCCTCCATACGCCTATACGTGCTGTTGTATATGGGGACACTGTATCAGTCAGAATCGTAGACACAGATGGAATCTGTCTTTTTACCAGTTGTTGAATCGTATTTTGAAATCCAAAAATGGAATACGAAGTAATTTTCTCAATATCATCTACAAACGGTGTCTCGTCATTACCTTGAACGTGAATATAACTATAATTGCTTGTATCATACTTCTTTTATACCAACATTTTTAAATATAGTACATGTTCTTTCATCTTATTTTAATAGAAAGACTGTCACAATTCCCTTACCTGTCGTTAATGTATTAACAGGTCTTTTGTATATAGCAGTATTGTTTAATGCTGTAAATGTTTTTTTGCCACTTCGTCCATCTCTTTCATCATTAATAACCGACTGAAACTTCGTAGAATTTTTGAACGACAGATTTCGACTACATTGCTGAGAAATGCAACTGATATTAAATCGGTAGATAAGTAGCGAATGAAGTAGGTGTTTGTTGTCAATCATAGTGCAACGCATATGAAGCTGATTAAATTAATCATGTATCCAACTCGGTTAAATAGAGTTTCTTCATCTCATGTTACCTAGTTGTGTAATCCCTAAATACCAAATTTTTGATATCAAGGTCTGAAGATTACACTTTGAAAGGTTATGAATCACTTGAAGAATGGGAGATCTACGTAGTCAGATCTAAACAAGCCCACTTAACAAATCTGACATTTGTCGTATTCGATTTTACCGACAGTAGGTAGACACGTGTATCGCCTACGATTTAAAATAAAAATTTCACATTATAAATATTATGTTTGTGACGTTCTTAATTCTTTAAATTGTGAAACTGTATTGTTTATTCGAAAACAATGAAATTTTTAAACCGATTTACAAAAGCTTGTGTTACAGAAAACATCAAAGTAGATATACTTATAAAGAATTATTTTTGCTGAACTTTTGCATAATAAGTAGATTTATATTCATGTAAATGGGCTTGTATTACGTTTTAAAAGATGTTTAATTAATTTGAAAAAAATGAACAAGACAGTAAAAATTTTATGTATTGTGTTTATAACTTACCAATCTTACAATTCCGTTGGTACAAGTGGCAGGTAGACTTTTCAGCGGGAAAAAATCTTGCAAGATTTAAATCAATTCAAAATCTTACAATTTTTATAAAGCTAGAAATATTTATTACTGAAATGGAACTTGATAGTTAGTCGATTAATAAATCAATAAATTATATCATAACATAGTTATGATTTGTTACATTATAGTAACAAATATTTTGTATGCAGTTGAAATAATATCACTGAATGAATATGCTGCAAAGAACATTTTTCTGCCAAGACAATTTTTCATATAGATAAATTAATACATTAAAACAATCGAAAGTTAAATTTTTCAAAAGAAATTCGTAATTAAAATACAATACTGCTACACTTTCTCGACTATTTCTTATTATTCATTAATCGTTTTATTCTAGTTCTGTTCTAAAAGTTTATAGCACGTGATATTTAAACTGTTTCTTGTTAGGATGACGTTTCTTACACATCCTGACTCGCCTAGATTCCACCTTTTTGTAAGTTAGCCATTAAGAACGTTTTAGCAGCTCGTATTATAGTGGCTTCAAAAAAAGGAACGTTCACATTTAAAACGGTGAAACTTTTTTAAAATTAGATTATACGACTTGAATTTTTTGGGGATATTAGAGTTTACCAGTTTACTGTACAAAAGCTAAAATACTTTTTCCTTTTTAATTATGCTATTACAGTAATTTCTCCCTAGTTCGCGCTCAGATTGTACACAATAATAGTCAATTTGGGAAGAGGAGACACGATTATTCGAGCCTCGCATCTCGTTTTTATAGTTGTTGACAATCGGTAACTATAAAAATGAGCCGCAAATTGTCCATTTTTCACTGTACTTGGAATGATAAAACAAAAAAATAAAAATCTTAAATTTTTCATTTGAGCTTGCAACGAAAATTTTATCGAAATCGGTCGACGTTGTTATGAATTACAAAAAATTAAGGATAGTGAAAATCGTAGCTTTTCACTCTTGTATGTAGTAAGCATGTATGTACGTGATGTGCGAGAGTGTGAAATCGCGGAGCTGGAGTCATACTTCAAAGTGGTTCGTGAGCCAAAAGATTAAACACGTGTTTCTCAAAACTTCCCACGAATCGTTATTAATCCTACAAATCATCGAAATAGTAAAATAAATAATCCACGATCACAGCACATGACTTTTCACCAAAAACTATGAGAAATCTAATGACATCTTTCAACGTCTGTAATTTGACTCTGCGTTAACCGATTACGATGAAATTATCAGTATGCATACAAGTTACTGAGATCTTTTTGGAGTCACTGTAAATGTTCTCGAACTGATAATTCCAGCAATGATCTAACGGACCGAATAGAGGACAGTGAAATAAGAGAACGACGATCTGATGATCTGAAACAGAGGCTTCCGTAACCATACACTATGAATCGATGATATGTCTACAAAAATTGATTAATCACCATCGAGTATCCCTCGTAGCCTGCAATGTACAAACCCCTTATATCAATGGACAGATGTTTGTAAGACTTCATCATTATGATCATCACAGCGTCTCTCGNGGGATATTAGAGTTTACCAGTTTACTGTACAAAAGCTAAAATACTTTTTCCTTTTTAATTATGCTATTACAGTAATTTCTCCCTAGTTCGCGCTCAGATTGTACACAATAATAGTCAATTTGGGAAGAGGAGACACGATTATTCGAGCCTCGCATCTCGTTTTTATAGTTGTTGACAATCGGTAACTATAAAAATGAGCCGCAAATTGTCCATTTTTCACTGTACTTGGAATGATAAAACAAAAAAATAAAAATCTTAAATTTTTCATTTGAGCTTGCAACGAAAATTTTATCGAAATCGGTCGACGTTGTTATGAATTACAAAAAATTAAGGATAGTGAAAATCGTAGCTTTTCACTCTTGTATGTAGTAAGCATGTATGTACGTGATGTGCGAGAGTGTGAAATCGCGGAGCTGGAGTCATACTTCAAAGTGGTTCGTGAGCCAAAAGATTAAACACGTGTTTCTCAAAACTTCCCACGAATCGTTATTAATCCTACAAATCATCGAAATAGTAAAATAAATAATCCACGATCACAGCACATGACTTTTCACCAAAAACTATGAGAAATCTAATGACATCTTTCAACGTCTGTAATTTGACTCTGCGTTAACCGATTACGATGAAATTATCAGTATGCATACAAGTTACTGAGATCTTTTTGGAGTCACTGTAAATGTTCTCGAACTGATAATTCCAGCAATGATCTAACGGACCGAATAGAGGACAGTGAAATAAGAGAACGACGATCTGATGATCTGAAACAGAGGCTTCCGTAACCATACACTATGAATCGATGATATGTCTACAAAAATTGATTAATCACCATCGAGTATCCCTCGTAGCCTGCAATGTACAAACCCCTTATATCAATGGACAGATGTTTGTAAGACTTCATCATTATGATCATCACAGCGTCTCTCGCATACGACGGTATATTGTACCACCGCGAATTGTATCTGCGTTATTAAATGTGCAACTGATTACTTCTCAAATATAGATGATAATTATTCGCTTATGAGATGATACAAATTCGGGACTTATTTTAATTACGTTCCTAGATTCACACACAGGACTTCGATTTTTGAACTTTTCTCGATAAAATCGATTGGTTTGTACATCGGCAAGTTAACAAAATAGGAACCTTCAAGGAAAAGTTTCACCCAATTTCGAGCTTTTCTAATTAAGATACAACTTAAGGTACACGTTATAATAACTAAACAGCCTAATAGATTACGGATTATATCCATTTATGATAAAAATAAATTGGTGAACTATAATACGGTAAAAGAATGAAAAAAACAAGTCAAAAGCATTGCTATATTATCGTCAATATACATATAAAAATCATTAAAAAAAATTTTATTTTACATTTTGGTTTCAGATCGCCAATGGATGACATCGTTCCATGTAGTTTAGTTAAAAAGGTATAGAAAAAAACGAAATAAACGTTAATATCCAACAAACCGTTTTCGTATAAGTAGTACTGAAATATGTTTTAAACAATCGCGAGCTTACAGTCACGGACAAATGTACAGTGGGTGAAAAAAATATTCGAAATAAGTTTTTTAAAATTTCACTAAATGACTTGAAGTTTTTTTAAATGATCGAGGGACTAGTACACTAGACAATGACTAAAATGCTTTTTTCTAATTTTGTTATTCCTTGAAAGGCAGTTTCTAAATTTTCGTTATAGGCTCAAATAAAAAAGTTAAAAGATGAGTTCTTTTTTTATTTTGCTTTGTCATTTCAAGTAATAGCAAAATTAAAAAGAAAAGCATTTTAGTCATTGTTCTCTTTCACCTGAAAGAAATTCACAAGTCGTTTAGTTCAGTATTAAAAAAGTTATACCGTTTTAAAGAGTGTTCACATATATTTGTCTTTGACTGTGCATTGCATATAAAGTCCTGGAATGATGAATGAATTGATACAACAAAAATGCGTAAATACCATTGACAATATACCTAGCGATTCTAAGTAATCCGCATACACGATAGCAACAGGCACTTATCGATGCCTCTGTACTGAGTACACAATATACACCATATACATACACGTATGTAACTTGCAGGAACACGGAAGTTGTTAGCATGCTCGACTCCTTGAAATAAAATCCAAGATAGCGAAGGTAAGCGACATGATATTTCGGCTGCACTGTGATCACAAACAGCGCCGGTACGAAGACTGCTGCTGGCGGTGTTTAATATTCCTAAAGCCGGGAATCACATGACTGATTAACTAATCTTGTTTCAGCAGAAAACTGTAAAGCCGTGAAAGGAAAAATCGACCGTTTCGAAAATTCCAACACGAATAGATAAATTTCTTCTCCTAGTTTTATTCTTCTTTTGGTACCATCTATTTTCTATTGCGATCAAATAATTTTTCCGTTCACGGTATCGCGGAGAAAACAAATTTGCCAATTGTCTTTACGAAAATAGTAGGTGCGCAAGGTTTTCGCTTGCTTTATGTATTCTTCTAAGCAATCCATTTCGATCGTACCTTTGTGGTTCTGTCGAAATCATTTGGCATGTCCATGAAGAAACGCCTTATCTGACGTCAAGTACAAAGAAAAACTCCATAAGATTACAATAATGCAATTTAACGGGCATAGCAATTCTGCTAGAGCTTACTATTTCGATCGCCAAGAGGAAAGACACGCTGCGCATAATGATCAACACCACTGGTCCACTAAACGACAACGTCGTTAGTACATTATCCAAATTGAGTTCAACCGTGAGCAACGATTTATACTGAAATACATTTCGACCGCAGTTAAAAGCTATGAATTTTAAAAGCCATTCGAGCAGTCCTGTTTCTATCTTAAAAATTCTCGAGTACAGTTATGTAAAATTCTCGAATCTTAATGAATTCAATTGGAAATAATGTTATAATAAATTCATCGGGAACCGCAATTCTAATTTTTCATTTGTTGATATCTGCATCGTGAAATTGATGAGCGCAACTGCAAGCAATAAGATTCGTCTAGCCATCAATTTGTAGTAGAGCGCAGGCTTTACCGGCCTCTGGCCCATTTACGACCCTGCGCTC